TACTCAGGCCGGGTTTAGGGTTTCATTATTGTTTAGGGTATGGATTTACCAAGAATCCCTTTTGTAACATGATTTTTGTTCTTTTAAAAGATGATTACTGAAGTTATATAACATTTACATTTTATTATTTTATTAACTTTAAAATCTGCAAATTTTTAAAATAGTATTTCTTTCTAACAAAGTACAAAGATTCAAATAAGAGATAGGAGTTTAGGGTATGGTTTATCTTATCTCGTTTATTGCGTTGCTTAACATTTGGGGTATAGGAGTTTAGGGTATGGTTTATCTTATCTCGTTTATTGCTTTACTTAATATTTGGCGTATAAGAGTTTAGGGTATTGTTACATAATTAAGAGATTCAAATAAACCAAATAACAGAGTTCAATAACAAAGATTCAAATAAACTAAAATAACAGAGTCAAATAACAGAATTTTAATAACCTACTTCCTAAACAACTCCTAATTGTTCGAACTTAATCTAACAACTTGTTTCCTAAACAACTACTACTTGAGTGAACTCTATTCAATCTCCACTACTAGATTTGAGAAGGTCTTTGGAGGAGTGTACTTTGACATTCTTGAGATAAACTCAGGATCATTGGCTGCTTCCCATATGTCATAAGCAATCTTTTGCCGGGCTTCAAGAATGTTACTGTCATTAACCAATGATAAGTCAAACCCTAGAAGATGGCATTCAATGTTCTTCAACGCATAGACTCCACAATCAGTATGACTTTTGTTTAACAAGGGCATTGGGACGTAACTTACATCATCTGCCTTGATGGTGTGTAGCTTACTATTTGAAGACTGCACAGCTTTAACCATTCTAGGGATGAGAACATCAAATGGCTCCACTTCTCTCTTGTATTGCAGTCCCTCACAGTCAAAGACCTCTATAGAACGATTAACGAAGTTGATGCACATAGAGATCCAGTGCGCATTGCCCACATTGAGAGGTATATACATGCGATCAACATCAAGATCCCACATAAGTCTTGTTCTTCCGTATGGTGTAAGTTCACCAATGTCGTATTCATTCAGTACTCCAGTTACCTTGAAATTTCTCCTATCCTTCTTAAACTGTAAGTAAGATGTCTTGATTTGATTACCGAATATGCAGCTCATGAATGCTACTTTCTTTACGTTCCATCTACGTAATGAAGTCCTCTCACGGAAGACGTATAGCATAGCATCAATTTCCTGTAAAATTTCAACGAGTGTCAATTAAGCACAATGAGAATTTTAAGAACATGTAAAGTCAAAGCAAAACTCACAAAATTCTTCAACCATATTTCAGGTCCTATTACACGTGATATTAGCTCAGGTGAGAACACTGAAGATTCAATCTTGAGATGCCTGGGAAACAAAATTAAACTAAATAAAATGTGATAGATTTGAAAATTTTGAGAAAAAACATAAACTTACGCATTACTTGAGGTCCAAGCAATCAGTTTATCCCATGAGTACTCAGGGACAAACACTAAAGAGTAATCGTCATCATCCACCCGGTCTTCAGGCAGTTCCATATCTTTGAGTGTTGGTGGTATCCAATCCGCAGGCTTGAATGAAGATAATGGAGTCGCGTATTCAATAGGTTCTTCGTCATTGAGCTGTTGCGAGGGATCAAAACATTTAACTTGGGATGCTTGGGAGAGGTGACCCATAACCTCTTGTAAATCCTCTTGTGTCCCCATATCTTTTTTGCTTTTTGATGATTGTGACAAATTCTCGAAAAAATCCTTCAGCTTATTTTGATCATCCTGTTTAGAACACCAAACATCACATTAATATATAAGTTTTACAAGACAGTCGACTTACAAGCCGATATGCCACATAGAAAAACATACACATTACAAGGGAGTCAAATACATAACTTGCAACAAAATAAAGACTCGGACCACATTTTTCTTTGCCTCATTTTCTGGTTACCTTTCTTCCTGGCCGAGGGCTGCGACGAACCGTAGGAGGATCCTTGCTTCCTTCCTGCTTGCCTTTGCTTTTTTCCTTTTCTACTGGAGAAACCATAGTATGAGCCGATAAGCTGGAACCCGGAATCTCAGAGGCTTTGCCTGAACCTGGAGTCTCAGCTGCTTTGCCTTCACCTTTTCCCACTATATCTGAAGGACCAGTAAGGTGAGACATTTTTTCCCTCAGCTGATCTATCTCATTGTTGACCTTCTGAAATTGCTCTTGTATGTCCTTCTGCAACACTTCCTTTAAAGAGCTGAAAGAAGAGGTCAACAAATCTTCCTTGAAACTCTTCATTTCACTTGATACACCGCTGTTATGCTCAGCCGCTCTTTGACAAAGCATGTTCTTCTTTCTAGACTCGGAACCAGGATCATTTATCTTGCGCTTCCCCCTTCTTGCATCAACAGCTGGTTCCCTCACAGGTGATACTGAGGCAGCTTCGTCTTCATCAAGCTCTTCTTCATCAGATAACATGAAATTTTGAGGCTTCACCTCAAGTTCCCAAGTGAACTGTGTCCAGTCTTGATTCTTATTTAGCAGATCAACAACACGAGCAACTCTTTCGTCATTCTTCTCATCTTCTTCTATATAAGCAGCATCATCAATCACTTTCGAGGTCCCAGTAGAATCTATAAATGGGAACAGCACTCCCTGACAGGAACAACCACAAGCAGTGAGCATTTATTTGATAATTAAACTAAAATAATAAAAAAAAAAACAATTACCTTAATCAAAATGGGACTCTAGGCTAGTGATATCTTGATAAGATACCTTACCACTTCCTTTCCAATTCATGCATCTTACTACGGTGACATTTTTTTTGAGCTTCTTACCCACCATAGTACCAATGTCTGGGATTGCCTCCATAACCCAAATCTGAAACGCATAAGAAAATCCATCAAGCACGTAACTGTTCTTCATATGTAACTCGGCCCTTGCTTTGACTATTGATGCAAGCAACTCGTCATACGCATAAAGACCCCAAGGATACTTCCTCATTTTCTCGAAATCCATCACCAAACGAATGTATTCGTGAGGAATATGCACTCTCTCATCCTTCACAATGAGGAATCCATGGATAACACAGAGATACACTAGCCTCACTCTGTCCACGTACGTCCATTTGTTGCAAACTTGGAGGAGTTCCTTCTTTACACACATTAAGTTGATCTTCTCTTTTTGCTTCAGCACCGTGCTCCAGAACCCCTTATCATTCTTCCAACTATCAAAGTCTATATCTGGTTCCTCTTTGTTCTTGAGTCTAGTTACAGCATAAAACTCTTGCATTGAAAACCTAAGAGGCCTCTTTGCAAACAGAAACCACAGCTCGTGAAGCTTAGAAACCTTTAACTGCTTGCATATGAAGCTGTGAACAATCTTCCCTGAGTAGATGAGCTTGTTATCATTGATGGCCAGAAGGGGACCAAAGACAGGGTCTTTCTGCACTTCCTCGTACTCATCCTTGAGAGCAACCTTCAGTATATCAAGAATAGTACGTCTACAGGTGTTGTTAATCTTAGCAATCTGATGCTCAATGCCTTCTTCGAAAATGCGTTTTGGATACTCGTAAGCCATGCTTGTAAACAATGAGATCAAATAACATGATAGTCAGTATCAATTGACACACTAAGTACAAAACTCTTAACAATAACTTAATTGATCGGTTTTACATGTTAAATTGTACACAAAAGAATCACAAAAATATATACATTGTGAGCTGCTCAGTTCAAATAACAAAGCTAATCCAAAAAATCCTCTTGTAAAATCGTACTCTTTTACATGTCAAACATAAACGTGAAAATAGTTGAGTTTCTAAGCATCTAAGTGTTTTACTAATACATGTACATCAACACAATGTAAAACAAATCAATATCGAAAAGGGGTCTCAATTTTCATCTCGGTTTATAGTTGAAAAAATTTGATAATTGTTGAGTTTCTAAGCTATCCCACTGTTTTACTAGAACATGCACATCGAAGGGGATCTCAAAATCTAACCTTCGATTTTGGGAAAAGATGAACCGAGATGAAAATTGATCTCCAACTTGTTCTTAATCAGTGATGAAAGCTTCGTCCGCCTCTTCCCTATACCGATTTACAGTTTCAAAGACAACAATATCAGTTATAGTTGATCACAGAAAAAAGCTCAAAGAAAACAAGAGAGGATGTAAAAGAAAATACCAGAAGAAAGAGGAAGCCGGAAGGAGGAAGGAGGAAGCCGGAAAGAGGAAGGAGGAAGCCGGAAGGAGGAAGCCGGAAGGAGGAAGGCGGAAGGAGGAAGGAGGAAGGATTCGCCGTCAAACACGCCGGAGAGAACACGACGGAGAGCACACGGGAATCGGAGCCGGAGAGAACACGAGGGGAGCTTGGATTCGATTTAGGGATTTTGACCCCTTTTGACTTAGCAGTCGGTATATGTATACCGATTATTATATTAGTATATGTATTTTTACCTTTTTAATTAGTATTTGTATTTTTTTTTAATTCTATTCAGAAAATTTAAATACTAAGGACTAAATTGGATTTTCATTATAGTTTATTCTAAGGGGATATGAATCATGAAATTTATTATAAGGGGACAATAGTTATGTTTTTTAGTCTTTTTTTGGCAAATTTCCCATTTTTTTTGGTGGATTATAGCTCCATTAAAATTGTGCAATGACACTAACAATGTTTTTATATATCTCTAACGGAAGTAGAAAGCTAGTTATACCATATGTCGAAAAAGATAACAAAATAGATTTGATTAGTATTTCCTTTCCTTTTTTTGATAGCTATATATTTGTCCCATCCATTTACTCTTTTCTATGTCTATCCATGAAGAATACAAATAACTTACACTCAGATCCATTACTATATTTTGGACTTCCCAGGTAGTATCTCATTCCTCCTTCATTCACGTTCCCAAGTATACCTTTGAATTGTTGTCGAACATTTCCAGCAATTGTCTAACCAAAAAGTAGAAAAGATTTATCGAAGTTATGAAAGTAATCAGGAAAGCGGATTTCATGACTACTTTGCGAAATTTTGTACAGATTTTAAAGAACCTTATAACATTCCCAAAGTATTTTATGTTACTATATGTGCAACTAATCATATTAAGAAACCGTTACGAAATATGAACACAGAACAAGAAGTCCATACATCACTCCTGCACATCTGTAACTAAAATACACTGCGGCAAGTTAACAAGCATGGCATGTAGCAACCATCCAGTTCTTAACTATTACAAGCACTCAAGCACCGACCCATCTCTTATTCCTGTCTACGTAAGCAGTTCTGTCTCTAGTCTGAGAAAGACGATATGTTAACTTCCCGGTGAGTTAAATTACAACCATAGATGGTTCAGGTCTGTTGCTCCGGTCTATAAACCTCTACGGAGCCAAGTCAAGGCGGATCATGCAACTATGGCCAGCCATAAATTACCTCCTGCCTTTAGCATGAGAATGATCATCTGAATAAGTGTACAACCATCTTTCGGTTAGTCTTCCTCTGATTCATGAGAGCTACTTTCTTTTTCAGCAACACGCTCCAAGATATCATCATAGGCTCTCACTGATTCCGCTGAAAACCTCTGCATAGCTTCCAAAATACGCCGAAGACTAGCCTGTAAACTTTCGTTACTAGTGTCGCTTTGGTAAACACTGTTATCTTCGCCTGGACCGACCAGAACCATTTTCCGTTCCAGTTCTTGAATCTCTTTCTGAATCCTCTGTTCCTCACCACCATGGCCTATCATCCTCTCCAGCGTTTCTAACCTATCTTGTTCCCAAAGATGAAGCACGCTGGTTGTGAATCTGCGCATTGCCTCGACAACTTCCTTCTCCGATATTCTATCTAAAGCTTGTTCCCACTGGTTACAGATCACGAAAATCATTGGAGCCCCGAGACGACCAGGAGAAAAAGGAATGATCCCATCAGGAGTTTCCTCAGGTTCGTAGATAAGACACTTCATAAGCCAACTATTGAGTACTCTTATAAAATCCTTTTGCGCACTAACCCAGCTTGAGAATCTCAGAATCCAATTAATAAGTTCATGCCCAAGCACCCTTGTAGCCTCGAGATGATCATCACCGAGTTTTTTGCTTCCTCTAATGGAGCCTAAACCTCTGGCATCCTTAATAGCCTCACACTGACTTTGATGGCAATCAAGCATGGATTTCCACATTCTGCTCAGCCTGAAAGAGAGAAATGAATGAAATAAGAAAGTGAAACACGGATTGCATCTGAACGTCTCTCAGCTTACCCTTGGATCAATTGATACAGTTGCAGCCATAGCTCTTCGTCTCTTATCTTGTTGATTGTAACGGATACTTTGTCAACAACTTGAATGGCAATCCTTATCTTCGTGGACAAACTTCTCACAAATCTTCGTGTTGAATCTACTTTTGGAGCATCGGTACCTCTTTCATCCATACGCTTCAGCTTTCTTAACTTTCTCTCGTGTAATAAACGCAGCTTTTCTTCAGCCTGCATAAGAAGCCGCACGCAAAACTGAAGATCAAACCACAAAAGAAAAAAGAGAACACATCTAACTGAGTGACGAACATACATTGACTTCGTCGTAAAGCTTCTTCTCCCATAGATGTAGCTTGTGCAATGTGGAAGACAGATTACGAGACCTTAATGCAAGCTCCGCCTCAATATCCGCGTAAGTAGGTGCAGCCGCTGCAGAAGAAGAAGCTTTAGCTTTCTTAGAGGTTGATGGTTGAGATGACGACACCACAGACGGCGGTGGAGTAACTTCGTGTATCATCTTGGATGAAGCTGCTCCTATACATGCACACATACAAGTTTAGTAATGAACTAAGAATGGTTCCAAAACAATAAAGCTGCAAACTGTAGTTTATTTAGTGGTAACAGAATCATATATATATATATATATATATATATATATATATGTTCACTAAATGCTATAGAGAATCAAACTTTCTGCAACACAAGCATATGCTGACACAAAACCATAATATATATTTCTTCAAAGAATCAAACTTGGAATCATCAAAAACGAACACAAGATGATGAAAGCTACCATGTCTGCGACCATGAGGATGTTTGCCCACTTCAAGCATCACTGCAACTTCACTTCCTGACTCTGCAGCTCTCAAGAACTGAGCATCTATCTCTTTTGCTACCTCAGGCACCCCTCTCCGGACACCACCGCCACGTGGCGCTGCATTACTCCTCCGCACTTCATCTCCACCACCATCACCAACAACTTTCTTCTCCACGACATGAACCTCGTACTCCTTCTCTTCTTTCTCAACCGCCACGCTTGGCCTAGTCTGAAACAGAGAAGCCTGACCACCCCCACCTGGCGGCTCTTCCTTGTCGTCCACGGTGGCGACAGCTGGAACAGGAGCTTTTCCGGGGACGAGTTTCTGCTTCCCATGTACTTGCTTGACAACCTCGTGATGAAAATCGTCTTCCAAATCAGGAATACCCTCTTCTTCCCTCACCTCTCTTGAATCCTGAGTAAGAGTGTAGGGAGCGTAATCGAAAAGGTTCAAGAAGTCCCAACCCTCTGATGACCTCGGTGGGGGCGGAGGAGGCGAAGAAGATTCGTATGGGTTATAGTTGGAGGTAGACGATTCTCCGATGTAAACTCTGTGAGAGCTGGAGGGTCTTTGCTCGTAGACAACGGAAGGAGGCATCGAACTGTTCTTCATGTAGTTCATATGCAAATACGAAGTCGGAGGATCCGGATTCGAGTAACGGGTAAAACCCGGATCATCATCGTCGTCAAGATGGTGATGGAGAGGAGATGAGTGATGCAAGGAGTCAATTTCGTCCGAGTCCGAATCGAATTCGATATGGCCCGACCCGGAATCCGAGTTGGGTTTCTTGGGTGAATCATCTTCTTCCGGTGGGTCGTGAGAGTCTCCACCGGCGAAGCGGTGGTGGTGATCAATGAAGGTGTGAAGAGACTGGGCGATTCCTTGAAGGGATTGTGTGTAGGCGAGGTGGGAGTCGGCGAGAGCGTAACGCTGCTGAATCGCGGTCTGGAGGAAACCGCAGCGGTCGCGACAAAGCGCCACGGCCGGAAGGTCGTCCAGCTTGGAGGTTGTACAACCCATCGAATCAATTGTTTGATATTCTCCAGTGGTTCCAGAATCAGATAGTTACCAATAATGAAGAGTTTTAAGGTTTTTTTATTTGATAAAAAATTAAAGAGAGAGAGACTTTTAAAAGTTAGGTGAGAGAAGTAAAAGTCTATAGCAATATGGAGGCAATTTCTCTCATATCCCTAGATATTATTCTCTAATCTTTTAGGATACATTTTTTCTTTTAATTTTATATGTCAAACGTAAAAATATAAAATTAAATTTGAAACGTGAATTTGATAAAAAAAAATCAAAAATCAAAAAACATTTTTCATATTTTTTACGAAAATCATCAAAATATGATTAAAAAACAATTTTAAAATTTTTTTTTCGAATTTGAAAGCTATAGAATTTAAATATTTGTCCATGGGTTCACTCATCCATTGTGGGGGGTTTGTTTAGAGTTGAACACTAGGAAGGATTTAATTTGGGGATTAAGTTTTGATAAAAAAAAAAAGAATTATGAAATCTATACTATATAAAAGTTGAGGCTATAAGCCATTGAGAGTGTCCACATAGGATTTAAGTCCTCCAATCGTATAATGACACATCATTTTATTAATTTATTATTTTTAGAAAATGTCATTGTTTCCAAATTATATTAAAAACAAAATTAATATTCCATATATAATTTTAATAAAAAAATAAATATTAACATTTACTAATTACATAAAAATGTTAACTGTTATAAAAAATGGAAAATCAAAAATAAAAACGTAATATTAACAAAACATTATTGTCTTTTTAGATATACTAAATGTAAAGTATTATTTTTAGAAAATCTCAATGTTTCCAAATTATATTAAAAACGAAATTAATATTCCATATATAATTTAACTAAAAAAATAAATATTAAAATTTTACAACTTACTTAAAAATGTTAACTGTTATAAGAAAATTGAAAAAAAAAATTTACAAAACATTATTGTCTTTTTAGATATACTATATAAAGTATATTTTATACAAAAATAAAATAATAATCTAATAGTAAAACTGTAAAAGTAACAAAATCATCTTACAAAATAAAATAAATTCAATTTAAAATTTTTAAAATATCTTTGTTTCCAAATTAGTTTAATTAAAAAGTATATTATCTAATAAGTTAGGTTATTAATATAAATTATTAGTTTTAAAATGTTAAGATTTCCAAATTTAAATGATAGGATTTCCAAATTTCTCTATATTAACATAAAATGGAATAAATCAAATTATTAATTTTTATATTTTCAAGATTTCCAAATTTAAATGTCTAGATTTCCAAAGTTTTGTATATTATCATAAAATAGAATAAAGCAGGTTATTAATATAAATTATTAATTTTAAAAATGTCAAGATTTCCAAATTTTAATGTTAGGATTTCCAAATGTTTGTATATTAACATAAATTTTTTATAATATATGAAGTATTGAGTGACTATAAATAATTGTCTAAAGTTCTAAAATTTTTCAAAATATATGTCGAGTAAGAGAGAGATATTGGAAAGAGAAAATAGATATTGATACAATAGTTGCTTTGACTTCTTCTTTGGTTTTCGATGATCTTAGAAAGTGTTTTAATAAGAATGAAGTTCTTGCTAGAAAGATTCACTTTTGCGAAGCACGTAACATCAATAAGACTGGTTTGCTAATGAGTTTCAAGTTATTACTTATTGATCAAAAGGTATGACAAAATTTATTCAGATATTATCTATACTATATAAAAGTTGAGGCTATAAGCCATGAGGGCGTCCACGTAGAATTTAAGTCCTCCAATCATATCATGACACATAAGTTTTTTGATTTTTGATTTTTAAAAATGTTAATGTTACTAAAGAAAATANAGCCATGAGGGCGTCCACGTAGAATTTAAGTCCTCCAATCATATCATGACACATAAGTTTTTTGATTTTTGATTTTTAAAAATGTTAATGTTACTAAAGAAAATATGCATAAGGGAAACTTAATAAACTAAAACATTATATATAATTTAATTTTCAAATTAAAATAAGAAATTATCATAATTTATATATTAAAATATTAAATAGATTTCTCAATGCATGTAAATTGTTAGCACATTATAATATTTTCATCATACATTTTTATATTTTTTAACAAAATAAATTATTAAACTTCAGAATAATATATCATTTTTCTTTGTACTTAGAAAATATAATTTATTATTTTCTCTTTAAGTCGTATAAAATTTTAATATTTAAATAAGTAATATTTAGATTTTTTTTGTATATGTAATGAATAACTGTATTATTAACATATTTTTATAGTAAATATTTTTGTTACCATTCACCTTTTTAGAAATAACAAAATTAAGATAGTCATTTGCCAAATTCTTTTGATATTTACTTTATGTTAATTTTTAAAATTCTTCTATATACTTAGTTAACTACCTCACTTATATATGATGTTTTTACTTTTGTAATTTTATCAAATTTTGATACAGATTTACATTTTATTTTGAAATAGATCATTTTTTTTTAATATTGACTTTTTCTAAGAAATATCAAAATTAAGATAATTAGTTATTTTAATGTTAATTTCACAAATCTGTTATATATTAAAGTTAACTTATATATAATGTTTTTACTGTTCTAAGTTTACCTGATACATATTCAATTTTTATTTTGAAATTATTGTTTTGGCAACATTAACATTTTTTAAAAATAACAAATAAAAAAAATTATGTATCATGATATGATTTTTTTTTTAAATTCTATGTGAAAGTTTTAAATGGCTTATAACTCAATTTTATATAGTATATAACATATATATTACTATTCATTTTTTTAAGAAATAGCAAAATTAAGATAATTATTTGACTAATTATTTTTGGTAATTATTTTATGTTATTTTCGAAATTATTTTATAAATCAAGTTAACTTATTTATGATGTTTTATTTTTGTAAGTTTGCTATATTTGATAAATTAAGTTAACTTATATATCATAAAATAAAACATCATATATTTGATAAATCAATATCAAATATGGCAAACTTGCAAAAATAAAAAATCATATATAAGTTAACTTAATTTATAAAATAATTTCGAAAATAACATAAAATAATTACCAAAAATAATTAGTCAAATAATTATCTTAAGTTTGCTATTTCTTAAAAAATGAATAGTAATATATATATATATATATTATATACTATATAAAATTGAGTTATAAGCCATTGAAAACTTTCACATAGAATTTAAAAAAAAAATCATATCATGATACATAATNAAGTTTGCTATTTCTTAAAAAATGAATAGTAATATATATATATATATATTATATACTATATAAAATTGAGTTATAAGCCATTGAAAACTTTCACATAGAATTTAAAAAAAAAATCATATCATGATACATAATCTTTTTATTTGTTATTTTTAAAAATGTTAATGTTGCCAAAACAATAATTTCAGAATAAAAATTAAATGTGTATCGGGTAAACTTATAACAGTAAAAACAATATATATAAGTTAACTTTAATATATTACAGATTTGTGAAATTAACATTAAAATAACAAATTATCTTAATTTTTATATTTCTTAGAAAAAGTCAATATTAACAAAAATGATCTATTTCAAAATAAAATGTAAATCAGTATCAAAATTTGATAAAATTACAAAAGTAAAAACATCATATATAAGTGAGGTAGTTAACTAAGTATATAGAAGAATTTTAAAAATTAACATAAAGTAAATATCAAAAGCATTTGGCAAATGACTATCTTAATTTTGTTATTTCTAAGAAGGTGAATGGTAACAAAAATCTTTACTATATAAATATGTTAATAAATACAGTTATTCATTACATATACAAAAAAAAATCTAAATATTACTTATTTAAATATTAAAATTTTATACAACTTAAAGAGAAAATAATAAATTATATTTTCTAAGTACAAAGAAAAATTATATATTATGCTGAAGTTTAATAATTTATTTTGTCAAAAAATATAAAAATGTATGATGAAAATATTATAATGTGCTAACAATTTACATGCATTGAGAAATCTATTTAATATTTTAATATATAAATTAATATTTCCAATAATTATGAATATGTTTACAAACATAATTATTATATTTACAAATACAAATAACTAAATAGCTAATAAGATAACATAATTATAAGAAAACATAAATACNATATAAAAATGTATGATGAAAATATTATAATGTGCTAACAATTTACATGCATTGAGAAATCTATTTAATATTTTAATATATAAATTAATATTTCCAATAATTATGAATATGTTTACAAACATAATTATTATATTTACAAATACAAATAACTAAATAGCTAATAAGATAACATAATTATAAGAAAACATAAATACTAAATAAAAAATTATATTTTAAATAAGAAAATTATATTACTCAATTAATTTTTTTGTTTTAAATTATTTTAAATTATTAATACAGACTCGCGCGTAGCGCGAGTATAAAATCTAGTATAAGTATAAGAGATCACGCGAGTCCATAGGAGATTATCTCTAAAAAAATAGGGATACTGGAGAAGTTGACTCCAAAATAGAGGCATATGAGACTAAACCTTAGAAAATGTAAGTTATTTACATATATGTCATTTTGCACATGTATCATGATAAGAATTATTTTCAGCTTCTTTTGATCTCAACCCTTTAATAACTAGACTATTTACTATAGATGCCACTGGACTAGCCTATTAAATATAATTTTTGTATGGTTTTACCATATTTACTTTGGGGTCTTCCACACTTGATTATATTCATTATTTCAATTATAACTATACATTACTTATGGATACATAGCTTTTATAACGTTTCTTAGCTGTTATCGTCATCATTATATGCTTAGTCTATGTAATTGTTCGGCCATAAAAATATACAACTATTATATTCAAAACTAGATGTTTTGTTCACATGTACGGGGATAATAATTTTACAGATATTTTAAACTAAATAAATTATTAGTTAAAATAAAATAAAAGTAAACTAACGTTCATACATTTTAAAATATTTA